CCATTACCGTACCAGGTGTCCCTACAATAACCATTGCATCTACTTTGGCATTTCGCTCCACTGCGCCTGGAATGGCTGCTTGTACAGTCAAGCCATCAACAAATTGCCCAATGCTTCTAATGACGCCCTCGATTTGGCGGGCAAGTTCGCGACTTGGTGCTAAACATAATGCTTGAGGAGTAGTTGGCTTCGAAAAGTCGAGACGTGATAGAATAGTGATAACGAACGCGGCAGTCTTTCCTGTGCCTGATTGTGATTGCGCAATCATATTTGTTGGCGGGTTGCGAAGTAAGAGTGGAAGCGCTTTTTCTTGGATCTTAGAAGGCTTTTTGAAATTCATCGCATAAAGACCCTTGAGAATCGAGGCATCACTAGTAGGATCAATCAGCTTAGTCTCTGCAAAAGTGAAGCTCACACTCACATTCCCAACTGCTCAAATGTCTCTACAGAATACAAGGGACTGGTTTGATCGCCTTGAATATCGCTGAGTTTGACCTCAACCTCATATTGACCGTCCTGGAGAGTACCACCTCCCAAAGGCTCAGTAGCACCATCAACTTGCGCCTCCTCCAAAGGGTTTCCCTCATTTTTTTCAGTAGTGGGTGATGCAACCTCGTCTGCCCAAGATGTGCTCTTGGATTCAGACATCTTAGAATATTGCGTTGGTGTAATATATTGGAATGCTGGGAATATAATGTTGCTTCTTTATGAATAATTTAAGTGCGGGGGAGGGGTAAACTGTTTTGTTCTGAAGATGTTTGATTGATTTATTGTGAAGGATTACCTAGTAGAGATATTGAGATATTGAGAAGACGATAAGGGTTGAACTAACTTATAATCGTCTAGTGCATATTCGAATGTGTTAATCTACACGTGATTCAAGATCAAACTTCTAACAAGCAAATCGTACGAGCAAACAAAACAGCCACACATACACAGCCTTACAGCCACAATCGATCACCTTAGGTACGTGGACCTTACCTAGTTAGGTATGTTTCGCTGCTTTAAGAAACGTTTAGGTCACCCCCGTGTATTCCGCCCGAATCTGATAATCTCCCACTCTGCCCAGCCAGCCCAACTAATAAATAATAATAACAATAGTTAGTTAATCATAGTAACAATAATAATAAAGTACCTACCCAAGGAGCCAGGTATTATTAAATACTCCGTAATTTGGCGGGGCATTTATGCGTACGAGTTATTCATTACGGTTATTGTCCTGATGACATATGCCCAAGATTCAACCTTTATATTCATACTCTCATTCTTTACTTCTCTAATCTAACATGAATCTTTTCCCCCTTTCACGTTGTCCATGATACTTAGATTACTGACATATCATTGCGGTATAAATCATGGCGGAGGTTGATATTGCTCCCCAATTCGGCCTTGAGCTGAAGGTTGGTAGACACGCATGTTCGCATGCTTTCTGGGTCAATGCCTTTTCTGACTTTTGGTGCTTTTACAGGATGGATTCAAATCGGCAAATGCTTGGGTAACCAACGGTATCAACTGGATAGGCAGCGACATAGAAGGATTCTATCGCGAAAGGAGCGTCATTGAGAAGGAATACAGCGCAAAGCTTGCGGCTTTGGCAAAGAAGTATTATGAGAAGAAGACGAAGAAGTCGAGCAGTTTAAGTGTCGGCGACACACCTGTCATGACTCCTGGGTCACTGGAGAGGTTTGAGATACTATACCTAGGAATCGACGTGCAAATGTTAACCAACCGCATGTAGTGCTTCATTAACAACATGGACTACACAACTCACCACTCTCGAATCTCGCGCAGCGGAACATGATCGCTTTGGAGGAGAATTGATTACACAAGTGGCAGAACCACTGAAGGTACTTGGAGGACGTTACGACGAGATAAGGAAACGTCACGTTGAATATGCGGATAAATTGGAAAAGGAGAGAGATGCTTCGTATGCGGATCTGCGCAAGATGAAAGGGAAATATGATGCTGCATGTCAGGAAGTTGAAAACAAACGGAAGAAGGCGGAATCTTCATTTGATTATTCGAAGACAAAAGCACAAAACGCATACCAACAACAGATCCTCGAAATGCACAACGTTAAAAACAGCTACTTAATCGCCATAAATGTCACGAATAAACAAAAGGAGAAATACTATCATGAGTATATTCCGGATCTTCTCGACAGCTTACAAGACCTCTACGAATCGCGCACAATTAAACTCAATGCTATATGGTCGCAAGCGGCGCAATTAGAGAAGGGGATGTTGGAACGTAGCACCGAGTTTGTTAATCACGTATTGGTTGAGATTCCAAGAAATCAGCCTTCTCTAGATTGTATGATGTTTGTCAGACATAACGTAGGAACTTGGCAAGAGCCTCCGGATAAGCCATTTGAACCAAGTCCTGTGTGGCACGACGATGATACGATGATGGTGGGAGATACTGCTAAGGTCTTTCTTCGAAACGTCCTTAGTAAATCTAAAAATCAACTTGGAGATTTGAGGAGGGAAGTGGATTTGAAACGACGGGAAGTTGAGAGCACGAAACGTGTGAAGCAGCAAATCAGAGAGGGCAAAGATAAGCGGGACGAAGTTGAAGTTGTTAGAGCCATTTTTGCTTTACAAGAAGAACTACATCAGGTTGATCACAAGAGGCTGACTGCAGAAGTTGAAACATCAACAATTACGGAAGCCGTGGGAGATGTTACGTTAGGCTCGAAGAGTCACAACTTCAAATCTCAAACCTTCAAAATACCCACTAATTGCGATTTGTGTGGTGAACGTATTTGGGGACTATCAGCAAAGGGTTTCGATTGTAGAGATTGTGGTTATACGTGTCACAGCAAATGTGAGATGAAGGTCCCAGCTGAATGTCCAGGAGAACAGACCAAAGACGAGAAGAAGAAACTGAAAGCAGAACGTCAAGAAGCTGCCAATGCGGTTAAAGCCCCAGGTACAGGTCTTGCAGATAGTGTTGCGGAATTTCCAACCATGAGTCGATCTAATACTATGAATTCATTGAGTTCAGGTTATGCCGCTAGTGCACATAGATCCATCTCGGCAAAATCTCCAACCGAGGAAACAACTCCAGATGCGGCGGGTGATCGAAGGAGAAGCATATCTTCGAGTCTCAAGCCCGGCGGACTTTTAAAGAAAAGCAGAGTTGTAGCTCCTCCGCCAACAGCATATGTTAGCGAATTACCAGGTAGTAGTGTGGCTGATGGATCGACATCAAAAGAACCGAGAGGGAGAATGTTATATGCGTATGACGCTAATGGTGGCGAAGAAGTCACAGTTGGCGAAGGCGAAGAAATTACAATACTGGAACCAGATGGTTAGTGACCCCGCTATTCTTTCTCTAATTAATTACTAACCAATGATAGATGGCGGCTGGACCAAAATCAAACATGGCTCCAAGGAAGGTCTAGTCCCTACCGCCTACCTCGAAGTTCTACCTCCTTCTTCCTCTCCAAACCCTACGAATAGACCCATTTCTATAGTCTCCAATTCTGGTTCCTCCATCTCTACTGGTAAAAAGCAGGGCCCAGTTGTGGCACCAAAAAGAGGAGCCAAAAAGTTGAAATATGTAGAAGCGCTTTATGAGTATACAGCGCGGACTGATGCAGAACATAATATGGTGGAAGGCGAGCGCTTTGTGCTTATTAAGGATGATCCTGGAGATGGATGGATGGAGGTTGAGAAGGGGGGGCATATCAAGAGTGTACCGGCAAATTATGTGCAGATTGTTTAGACAAATTGGGCGGGATTCGTTGCTTGAAATCAGCATGGGATAGCAGGGAATGAAATGGGATCGGTGTATAGTTCAAATGGCAGAGTGCAAATTGTGGATTGTGGATGATACGTCCTCAAGGTAGAGCGGAAGATAAAAAGCAATTCTGAGTTTGTGAAACAACAGACAGACGTGGGAATTGAAGCGAGCGTTATTGAAACCTATGAGTTTTACCTACCTGCTTAGAACCTAGTAAATACCTACTTGTAAAGAAATGCAGATATAGAGCCTCAGCCCTATCGTGGTGCCGATATTTAATATCACAGGTGTTGCGTTGCCAGGGGTATTTTAGTACAATACGACAAGTTTGGGAGGCAAAATCATTTTGCGCGCTAATGATCATTAGCTCAAGATAGTGATAAAGGATCATTAGGTAAATCAGAAGGCGAGGTGATTGAGTGACAATGATAAGATGAGAAATTATTTGTTGTGTTGTCGGAAAATTCAATCTTGTGCATTGCATCAGTGTACGAGAGAAGGCGGCGGGCAAGAGATAATTACGCGAGATTTATTTCGCGAATCTTGTCCGGTAATTCACGATCGGGGAAATCAGAAATAAAACTTTACTTGAATTTATACTTGACAACCTACTATAGTCATTTCGATTGGCTAAAGCTCCCATCATATAATCGAAAGCATCGAAGAGGTGCCGCGAGAGGGGGGGAAATTCGCAATCACGTGATATAAACAATACAATTAGCGCCTGTTATATTAACACAAGGATCTTTAGGATTCTACCTCAATGGTCCACCATAATAGATTTATCGAGGGCTTTGGTTTGACAGTAATGCTTTATGTAAGAATCGCTTATTCTTTTACACTAGGTTGTTTAATTCTGTCGACATACTATACAGTATTCTAGTTCTGATATCGACAATATCTGCAACATAAAGCTACTTTGATTTGTTTCTTTCATCTTATGATTGAACTACTTCAATTGTAGAGAAAATTTAGGTATGTATCTAGGTGGCTCTCTTGCATATGCGCAGTAATCAGATAGCCGCTCTGTGTTGTGGCTGTAGTCGGTAACATATAGGTAGAACACTAATGAAGAGGTTGCCTGGTAATCCAAAATGAGAATTGTTATCACAGAGACTAGATAATTGACGGCACCGTTTTGACATTTAAATAGCAGATTGAGAGACACATATATTTTCCCGGTTCATTTAAGTAACGATTGCCATTTTACTACAATCATCGAAAGAAACCATTACAAGCTATTCAATTTCAGCATGAACCTCTGCATTTATTCTCAGCAGTATAATCAATTAAGAACTTTCATTACCATAATATTATCTTCAGATGCAAAGAGTACCCTTCAAAGGCATCCCGAATCGAAACGACGCTTATCGCTAGGGCAAAACCCCAAGAATCTAGAAGCCTTCTCCAAAACCCAATCCAAGGGGAGAGAAAGGCACACAGACAACTTAAGAGACAGACATAAGCATGGTCTGGATATGACAAACACTAAACTCAGGGACCTAGAAGGTCCCCTTAAACGCAAATCCAGAGAGAGATACGCGGGCGATTTCAGGAACGAGCATACATCTGTAAAAACGCGATCTAGAATTGCGGACCTTGACAAAGAAAGTATGAAAGTCCTAGGTGCATCATTGGAAGATGAAAGCAAAGAAATGATGAGGATTGACGAGGAGCTCAGACGAAGCTTCGATGAAGTACTGCTCAAATCATCACAGATAAAGTCAAATTTAAAACGGCTGATTTCGACAACAAAGGAGCTCTTGGTCTTGAGAGGGGAGCCGAGGACGAGCTCTGGTGATCTCCAAAGTGATCTAGTGAGTTATAAACAGCAGCTTGATATTACACAGAGGAATCTCAAGAAAATCAGAGATCTTAAATCGACTATAGCTCCCTGAAGTGCTAAGGGACTACAAAATTTAGTGTCATATTGGTTCATATATTGGAGTTGGATTGCTATAGCGTTTGCTTCGTGGGTCAATTTTACGATTAATTTTATTGTTTACATCGCTGGTTCTCATTGGCCAATTACTTCTTTTCGTAATTGGATTTACTTGTGATTACTGAACTCATATATCAGGTGAAGGACCTCAGGCTTAGAGTGTTACTTACTGAAAGATCAATATATTAATTTCTAGTATACCACATTACAATCGATTGCAATATACTAGATATCATAAGAGGATAGACTCAATGAAATGCACACCTCATCCGATTTGGATTCAGATATAAGTGAATCTACCGGGAAAACAATCCCAAAATAATTACGCTCTGATGTGATGGGAAAAAAATGTAATTTGATTTGACAGGATCAGACTAGATGATGCAGCGCGACTGACATGTGAAATAATAGTTCACTAGCTCTAGAAAAAGCCTTTGAAAGTTGACAGATAGATGAAAAGAGGTAGAGCTAAAAGTGATTTATCCTGATATTGTCAGATGATAATCCCTCGATTAATCCTGGGCATGAGTAATATTTCCTTCCCTTAAAATTTTAGACGAGAAGCTCCCTGTTATCATGAACTGATGATAATGAAATCCGCCGAGTATCAGGTTTGTTTTTTGCAATAAACCGAAATATACCAGTTTCGTAAGATTGCCAACTGACATTACATTTATGCTCATCGTGTGGCAATATATCACGCAAGCTCTATCATGAGTCTCCGTAGTTTACGTTAGTCATAAAGTTCAAGACCATTGCGCAAGATGGTCTGGGTCTCTTCCGGTAGCAAATGGATAAGTATGTAATCATTTTCTGTTTCCCATGTAATTATGTAGTAGTTGAATAATTCCTCCTTCTCTCTGCGCAGCCATCCAGCTTCGTGCATTCTCGCAAGAGTTTCAAGAATTCCGTCCGGTATGCCTTCACCAGGGAAACACCTCTGGTATCCAGGATCGAGCATCAACAATTTTTTGCTCAGCAAGACCTCTGGATTTCCCGTTTCCCGAGTGCAAGAGTAAACCATGCCCTGTTCTGTGAATCTAGACGGTCGGATTGAATTGAGCGATGCCTCAAGCATGATGCAGCTTGCCTGTTCGAATACTTCATTTATCTCGGGATTGTGATAACCGACATCGTGTAGTATTGATCTCAAGCATTCCACTCCACCTACGTCTCTATATGCTGAGTAGAGTGTCTTGCCATGCCGTATACGCACGTACTCACCGGCGTGATTGAGCTTCATACCAGCTTTCAAGCATCGAATAATTTTTTCCCTGACCCTCGGATAAAGATGGTCATGATCCACGCTCAATACGATGAATGAATTGAAAGTATCTATGCAGTAAGATTCCAAGGCCGAGTCCTTGAATTTGAAGGACTGAAGAACTCTCTGGATATATAGGCGCTGAGGGTCGTGAAGAAGGGCCCACGGAGGCTCTTCAAGGTAACGCAAAGATAAATGTTTTGACGACTCCAACTCATCTTACATGGACTTTATAGCTGTCAACGGCCAGTTATCTTGAGTCTGAACACAAGGAATGAATTGAGCAACAATCGAGTACCGAAGGCCACCCTCAAGTCGGGGTTCCCGGATTCCATATTGTTCATATGGGTCATGAATTGATTTCTTGAGAATGAGCCGTATAAGTTGTTCGAGATAAGGAATTATCAAGGGGTGGCACCCAAATAGTGTGTATACAACTCGCCAGAACAATGTTGTTGTTCCTGTTGAATGATTTGGCGTAGAATCACTTGGGTCTATTCCTGCTTCTATCAAGTACTCCATAACCCTGAAAAGCCTACTGAGGCGGACGACGGTTTCAGAAATACGACATCCGTAGGTCTCTTCGTTGACTATGGAGATGGTACAATAACATTGCTCCCAAGCATGGAACAGTAGTGAGGAAATGATACCTCCCTCGCTGGATAATGTCACATCGTGAATGGTAGCTTTTCCCTCCGCAAGTAATCTACGCACCATAGGTAATTCACCTATACGACAAGCTTTGGTAATTGGAGCATCGAATGAAACGTTATTATAGCATCTTAAACGCATATCAGAACATCCAAAAATAGAACCCCTCCTTTGTTGATCAATGAAAACAAGATACCGCGCTTGTGTAAGATAATTGGGACGAATATCAATCTTGTGAGTAGTTTTTGAGCTTACCAAGGGCTCTTCTGAATCGCTCGTAACGTCACAAAATCTCTGTTGTAAGGTTGTCGTTGTTGATCGAATAGTTATTGTCGCCAGCCATGCATTAATTATGCTTTTCGTAGTAGTTTGCTGATCAACCCTAGGATTGCTAAACCCATCTAAGAGGCTGTCACCACAATCTCTGGTTGCTGGCAATTGATCATTGTTGCCAAACAAGTGTTTGCTCACGGTTTCGGCACCAATATCAGATCGATATTTGAAATTTGAAGTCTTTTAGAGCCATGTTGGCACTGTTCTTGACGATTTGCGCCAAAATTGGGTCAAGTGCAGCATAAAAACCTTCCTGAACGGCATATATGACATCTAGATAGGCCTGATCGCTAGCAACAACCTTTTTTCCGTTCGAAGCTTGAGTAGTTTGTGAAGTTGTTATGGTTGTCGAGGCGCTGGGTGTAGATTGTGTGGTGGCAGTTGCAAGTACTAGCTGTTGTATGTTCGTGGTAATCCTTCTAAGCATTGTGAGTAGCTATCTTTCTTTGGGCGGGTGAAGCGTTTTTCATACAGATTCAATCTGGATTTTATGCCGATGATATCCATCTTCGCCTGGTGAAGTCTGCTGGCATATTTGGTGAATATATTCTTCTTTTTGGCGAATCTAAAGCTTTTTCACCAATTATTCCTCCCATTACGCTTATACGTATTGACAAATTCTTGAAGGTCTTTCATAGTGGACTCACTAAGCTCCAGGGCCAGTTTGATCTCGTCTTCTGATTCTCTTATGTCTGTGCACTCCTTCACCTTTTCAAGGGTATATTGAAAGTTTCGAAGGCCTTTCTCGAAACCTCTCAGCTACTCAAGTATATATATTGTTTCTTTCGGTGCGCCATTGATGCCGTCGAAACAGTCACAAATAAATTGACAGCCTTGAGGAATTTAACCCGTCAGTCCAATGAAGCTTATAACCAATGCACCAAGGCTGACAGCAGCAACAGCAGCCTCGGCCATTATTCAATTCAATCTTCATCAATAATTAATCAAATAGATATATATCAAAAGGTACAAGTAAGCAGAATCTCGGATGTTCAAAGGCCTGATCAATTGTTGAACGCAAATGATGATGAAAAGAGCTTAGGAAGACGATAAGATAATAAGAGTTTCAATAGTGGCAGTGCTATCTCTTCGTACAACTCATATGCATTCAACCGCAATACGTGAGGATGGTTGGTAGGCTCTTAACAACTATGTACCACAGCAGAGACACATGATAAACCTAAGCAGCCGCAGCAACTACTCCTTTCCAGCTGTCTCTAGCTTGAAGTCCTTCCCACCACTTGTTCACATGAGGATACTTTGCGAGCAAGTCTTGAAATCCATATTTTAATGCCTGTGTACCGTGTGGTAGATGGTACAAGTCAGCCAAAGTGAACTCATCTCCAGCAAGGTACTTCTGCTTCGAGAGGATCTGGTCGTAGACAGCGAGGTTGTTATCAAGTGTTTGGAGATATTTTTGAACCAACTCCGGGCTAGTGGCACCGAATCCTCTGCCACTGTGATTTTGTCAGTATTATTGTGGGTTAAATTGAGATGAGAGGTCTTACGGTTTGATATAGTATTCGAACCAGAGACCGAAGGTTTCGGCGTCAAAGTACGCCTGTTCGATTGAACAAGCCTAACGATGTATTAGTTTGCTTTCTTGAAAATTTGGCCAGGGACTTACTTGTTCAAATGAACCATAGTCTTTCACATCTCCCTCTGCAGGGATGAGCTTTGTACCCTTGTCAAAGTACTTTCGAGCAATATACTTGCAAATGGCTCTGCTCTCGTAGATCAGGAAACCGTCATCATCCAGGACAGGAATCTTTCCAAAAGGCTGCTTCTCAAGATGCGAAGGCGACTTCTGCTCGCCAGTCATAAGGTTGACAAGGATGAACTCGCAGTCAACGCCTTTCTCGGCGAGTGTAGTGAGTACACGCTGAGTACAAGTTGCTTGATGCATACCGTAGAGTTTGAGACCCATTTTGTAAAAGGTGATTGATTTTCAAGAGATTGATATGTGAGATTCGAAAATTGAATTCTATTGATGTTGTTGATGCTTGAGTGGTTTCTGAAATGTTTGAATGAATATTTACTCAAGGCGACTGACCTCCTTATATAGTCGTGACTGCTGCCATGAGGTATTGTGTATGATGCTTCCCCTGACCTCGCTAAAACAATTATGAACAAGTTCCCGAAGAAGTTATGCAGACGGAGCCGGTAATCAGACGGTCCGAGGATAATTTATGCATGCTCATCACTCATTAATCATAATAAACTACCCACTCGAGCAGTGAAGGCTTTGAATTTGACAAATCACTTGGTTTTCTTTTTAACCAACTGTCCACAATGAATGGTATGTGGAAGATGAGAAGGGTGAGACTGTAAAACTCAATTATCAAGCAAAGCGGCATAAATGTGAGGCGATTACGAAGCACATCGTGGGTATCGTCTAAAGCGGTTAGCGTATATTAATCAGCCAGCGATTGTAAGACGGAATGGTAGCTCATTGGGTCAAACAATGGGGGTAGCGAAAAGTAAGCAGTGTACGGAGCAGGACAAATTCATCGTGTATCTGCATGGTTGAGAAATCACTGACAATTATCCAGTGCTTTACTTTGCTGGATATGAAAGGACTCAGCAACTGCTCGTACAGTAGTACTATCCCCCTATGAGCAAATTTTCTCATGTCTATAGTATATAGTTTTTAACTCTCAAGAACGACAAGATCTCAACCACTCATATGATCTTATCTTTATTATATCAATAGATAGCCCTGATACAGAGAAGCTCAAGGCTATTTTAATTTTCTTGAAATAATGAGTGGTTGATTTAATATTCAATAAATCTCAGACATTTTTATCGTTTAATGACCGGATAAATACCTTTCAATCGGCTATTATATAATCAGGTTCGGAGATATATTTCGAATAATCTTGTAACCGAATAACATGATTTATTATCAAGCGGACTATATCATTAAGTAAATCATTTCAGAAATATACAAAATTCGTTTATATATAATTATATACTTTCTTTATTTCATAATTTTTTTAAAAAAATTTGAAACTATAAAATTTGAAACTATAAATATTATAAATATTCAATTGTTTATTAAAAATTTGAATTTATATAGTAGTTATTATAGAAATAGTTTTTTGTAACGAAAATCGTAACAATTTCTACTTTTTAGAGAATATAATAAAAATTTTCATATAAAAACCAAATACTTTTATAAGAGATTTCTTCTTATTAATAAATATTTTTTCTTTTTCAAAGGATAACGATTAATTATTAAAATGAAAATATTAAAAAAGACTAATTTTAATATATTTTAAAGTGGTCTGCTTGATGATATAATCTACTTAATAATAAACTACGTTATTAGATAATATATATAAAAAGCTCGAATAATAGCTTTAAGAATTTTTACCGCTTCATATTTTAGTTTTAATCGAATTATAAATCATCTAGTCATTTAATTGAAAATTTTATTATATTAATCGATTTCTTCAGAGTAAAGCTATTCATTAATGTAAGAGAAAAGAAAATTAGTTAAGGGGTTGAGATCTTGTCGTTTTTGAGAGTCAACGACTATAGTATCGAAGCCCATTCGATCTGTTAAAGGTTTCATGATCAGCAGATATCCGAAGAAAGAACAGATGCGCAAACCAAACTGAAAAACCACCAATGCCCATACTAATGTCGTTCTCAGAGGAGCTTCTTTTACTTTCATATCGGAAGGATTATCTAAAAGATTAAGTTCCCGAAATCTATTGCCTTGGCTCGCTCTCAGATCGAACCCGGTACTCAGAGGCAGTAAAAGTTTTAGCAGCCATAGCTGTCATGATTGTTTTATGCACCACACTATCATTGCCTAGGTACGGCAAAGAAACACTGGACATGCGACGTATAGAAGAGTACTGTGGTTTTGATCCTCGAAGAGTCAAACTCGAGTCCTTCGCAAACCCAATATTGTGCGAAACTTTAGTTTCTCACCGCATGCACGACAATTTCGTCTGCCTCGAGACTGTGGTGAATTCTTTCCTACGGCCCTTGGAACTGGAGCTTTGAGTGTCTTATTATCGGTGTAAATATCGGAGCTATTGGTGAGAGAAGTCTCAAGATTGGAGTTGTGGGTGTATATTGTGACTTATTTTGTAAACTTCGGGAACAGGTAAGTAAGCGAATATCCATTGAAGAAGCCATCTTGATTACAGCCAGAATAACTGCGAGGAATGGTACAAAAGGCAGTGATAATTAGCTATGAAGGATCGTGATGCTTCGATGGAACATATGACTTAGTCTTGTGACAAAAAGACCAACAATTTCCATAGAGTCCTATCTATGACTTACGAAGTGCTCCCAAAATCTAGAGATCACCTCGTCGCAGTAGCTGGCCACTTCTGGGATACGCTAGTCTTCCTTTTACGATAAGTATCACCTATGTTTTGAAGCACTTTCTACGTCCATAACATTTAGCTATTTTCTAACCTCGACAAAATCCACTTGTGCGACGATCAATATCTATGTTAGAGTAGCTGAGGTGCGGTATTCCGATATTACTCGTTCAGATGAGTACCAGCGTGATAAGAGGAGGATGGAAAATTTCTGTGGATAGTGATCGTGTTGAGTCGTGGTTATCATCTCATATCTTATTCTTGCCTTGTTGGTCATGGAATTTAGCTTGGACAGCTGCACGTATTGTGATCACTTGTGTAAATTGAAACAACATAGATCTTATAGGATGTGTATGGATCGGAATTTCGGAAAATATCAGCGTGGATTATGACATTCGCATTTTGGATAATGAATCTAGGAGACGATACAGGGATCAATCTCGAAGAATAGTATATTGATATCTCTGCAATTTGATATTTCGATTTGCTAGACGAGTGACAAAGTGATAACGAACAAAGCTTCACTTGGGGCCAAATCACGGTGACAACTCGAAACCCATAAATACGGGAATAGCTATATAAGCATAGCGCATGACTTTAGGTGCTGCCCCTCAAAAGCTCTTTTCAATCACCCTTCAGGACCACAACTCACGGTTTTCCCGGCCTCCTAATCTTCTCCCTCCTCCACAACAAATTCTCCCACTCCTCCCCCCCAAGCCCCCTCGGAACCTCATCCACAGCCACCTTCCACTTCTTCGACATCCCATACAGCTCATGCTTCTCCAAATTTCGCAGCAGCGCTTCATACTGCAACACACTAGGACTATCCTCGCCCTGGAGAACCGACCATCCTCTCACCGCTTTCTCTACAAAAATTCTCGCGCGGGCTAAATCGCCATTCGCGATGCAGATCTGTGCCGCGTCGTAGAAGGCTCTGGGGAGACCGGTATCATTGGGTCCTAGTTCATTGTATCTTCGAATCTGCTGATCCACGTAGCGGAGTTTGAGTAAGGGGACTGAGAGGATTCCCATGATACCATCTCGACTGATGAGTTCGTCGAGTTTGAGAATTTCCTCGAGCTTTTTATCGACTGCTTCGCTTTGCTCGAGAGGTAAGGAGCAGAGGTTACACGCACACGTGAATGCGAATTTACTGCGCAATCTCTGTTGTCGAGTTTCGCGCTTGTTGAGGATCCCGAGGTAGAAAATTGTGATTTCTTCATCCGATTCGATGTCTCGTTTCGCATAGACGGTGTGGCGTTTGGTATTCTCGTTCCAGCCTTTTTGAGCGTTGTTATCGCAGGCATGATTGATGCGACATGCATTGATGAATATACCAGATTCTCGTACAGAATCTCCGAAGGGTAGAGCGTTTGTTCGGATTATTCCTAGGCGCGGCGGGGTACCGTCGTTGGCATAGATATTGTGCATGGAGAGGAAGGCTTGTCGTTTTTTTGCAGAGAGCGCTTCAACTTGTTTGCGTATAGATGCCTGCAGGACCGTTGTGGCTGAAGCATCCTCTGGGACTCTGATGATGGGCTCTTCGGAAAGGATGCATGTGCCCATAGGGATTGTTCGTGTGGCGATGAGTCCTTTTCCCTTACCTGGGACCTCCTGAATAGCGTACATCGGTTCAAGCATAGAGCTCGACATATTCGTGCACTCATAATTTGATCCTTTGCTCAAGAAGATATATGTGCTGCTGAAAATGAAATCGATGAATGATCATACGTAAACTCGAAAATAACGGTGCAGCTCCGTGAAGGTAACAGTCTACACATATGAAAGTTTGTGTGACATACTCATCGAAGAGGATTGGTTGAGCACAAATGCGTTGATACCTAACAAGACAGCAATATGCCAACATCCGAGGGCAACTTGCATGAAAGGGCAACCAACGACAGTCATACTTGTGACCAAAGGATATTTCCTATATCCGAAATCGTCGATTTCATTCCTTTCTATTTATCAACTCTTCTCCTATGTATTCGAGATACCTTTCTTCATTATCAGATACTCCTTGAGCTTCTCAACCCAAAGACATAACGTAGTTTATCAGTAGGTCAACCATATCAATAGATCAACCACTTTTACCTCGAATTATTACTTCAAAGCTATATTATTCAACAACAATTAAATCAATTAATTAAAACTATTAAGAATCTAATAATTTAGAATCTATTATATTATTTTAACAAATTCTTACATTATAATTTGTCTTTCTATATTTACTATAATATTAATTAGAAAATACTTCCTTATTAAAATTTCCCTCTTTTTAATATTTATTATATTAAATTTAAATGTTAATCTTTTATTAAGATAATATATCAAGAGTCTTTTATTCAATAAGTATTCCTCCTTAATATAATTAGGTTTTTTATATATATTAACATTTACTTAATATTTTATTTATTATTTGAAGTATATAATTCTTTATATTTAAAAGTGTATTTTTATAAGCTAATCTTTCTATACTTTTAATTAAAGTTAGTATAATCTTAAATATAAATATAGAAGAACTTACTTGATAACAAGTTATTTGAGATTTAATTAATATTAATTGAGAAAAAGCTTTAGTTGGATTATAAAGGGTTTAAGAGATTTATTGATTTAGGTCGAAAAAGGGAGGGGTAGATGTATAAATTCGAATATTTAATTTCGAGAATATAACTTTAGAATTGAATAAAATTAAATCTATTTTTTAAAATTCTGATTTCATATTCTGAAAGGTAATTAATTCTTTATATACAACTTTAAAAGCTATAAAGAATTCAATCTTCGAAATATAATTAATATATGTCTTAATAAATTCATTAATTTGATTACTATATGAACATTTTAGATTGCTAAAACAATCAACATTAAGTAATTGAATTAAATAACTTAAATATAATAGTTATTGGAAGTTGTGGCATGTACGCTTAGCTACTATATATATATCACTTCCACTTTATAAGTTAGATTTTATCTTAGTATAATTAATCTACATAGTTACTTTTATATGCATTCTATTAGCCTACCCTTTCATTATGAACAGGTTATAAGTCCAGTAGCTTTGTAGTAAGATTAAGGCTGAAAGCTTTTTTAATAGTTTATATTGCTAAAGTAAAGGTTGATAACGAAAAGCTTCTATACAACATGATATTAATATATAAAGTGTGTATAGTAAATAGATTACTGAGTAGTAATAGCGAAGTAATTATTTACATTATATCTTTTCTTTAAATAAGAAAACTACAAGTTATTATTAAAAAGATCATTTATTCTAGCTTAATGTTGAAGAGTATTATCTGCTATATAATATTCAATATCACTTCAAAAATTATTATTTATAAATCAAAAATTATTATTTTCAATTACCCTATCTTAAAAAGGATTTCTTTCTTTAAATATTAATATATCTAAAGTGGAATAGTGTAATTTAAACAATTCCTATTTTACTCTTTTATTTTATTATTAAACATACTTAATGTTGGAAGTTGTGGCACGTGCTCTAAGCTACTGTGCATATATCACTTCCACTTCGTAGTTAGATTTTACCTTAGTACAATTAATCTACATAGTCAATAATACATGCATTCCACTGGCCTGCTCCTTTATTGTGAACAGGTTATGAGCCCGGTAGCTCTGCAGTAAGACTAAGGCCGAAAGCTCTTTGAATAGCTTACGTTGCCAAAGGAGAGGTTGACGACGAGAAGCTCCTACGCAACGCGACGTCAACATACGAGGTGCGCACAGCAAACAGATTGCTGAGCAGCGACAGCGAAGTAACCACTTACATCGCGCCTTTTCCTCAAGTAAGAAAACTACGAGTTATTACTGAAAAGACCATTCATTCCAGCTTAACGCTGAAGAGCATCACCTGCTACATAGTGTTCGATATCACTTCAAAAATCATTATCTACAAATCAAAATTCACTATTCTTAATTACCCCGCCTTGAAGAGAATTTCTCCCTTCAAACACTAGTACATCCCAATCGGGACAGCGCAGTCTTAAACAGTTCCTCTTCCACTCTTTCATTCCACCATCAATCACGCCTAGGTCATCGACGCAAGCTTTCTACTTGCAGAACCTTCAAAATGAACGAAGACACTGGATCCAAGGATTACTCCAAGCGCATCCCTCCTCTCACTCAAGAGAATCACGAACGCTGGACTCGTCAAATAAGAATTCAACTTCGAGGAAAAGGTTGGTTCTATACATGCGAAAAGACATTGCATGAATATGCACGGATTGCAGCAGCCGACAACTTAATCCAGGATTTCGAAGAACTTCAAGTCTCCAGCGGCAGCGGCAGTACCACTACAAAGATTCGACTCAATATCGACAAAAAGGCCACCTTTCTTAAGGACGACGCTAGTGCATTATCTTACATCTGTCGCTCATTATCTGACGATGATGAGGCTTTAGTGGACGAATATGATACAGCAAAGAAACTTTGGGATTATCTAGCCGTCAAATACTCCAGAATCGATGATATCGCAGCAGACGAGTACCTCCTCAAGATCAAGACCTTCTCTTTCGACGATACCCCTGATATGACTATTATAGGTGCATGGGATAAGCTCAAGGATCTTCGACGAAAGCTCTTATCTGCGGATGCTTCAGCCGGTGCTTTGTGTACAGATAAATCACTCTTTCAAAGCCTGACCTTGTCTCTCCCTGATGAGTACAAAGTCATCATTGATATGATCCGTGTCGTCAGTTCTACTCTAAGCATTGACGATAAGATCAAGCATCTACAGGTCAAAGAGGCAGAGATCCAGACCTCTGGAGACTCGGCACACCTTGCAAAAGGAAAGAAATATGTCCCACCTCATCGCCAGCGTAAGGCTAGCACAAGCTCGGAGACCGACACATCCATCATCACTTGCGAACTCTGCGACAAACCTGGCCACTCAGTCCTAAAATGCTTCCAGCTCCGTCGCGCCAAGCGTCTCTTGAAATCCGATTCAAAGCACAAACAGAAGAGAAGACAATCCACCTCTCCAGTGCGAAAAGACAAAAAACGCAGGGAGCACAAGGCTCATATCGCCGAATCAAGCTCCGATGCTACTGAAAGTGTCGTCGATAGTGAGTCTGATTCTGAGCATTGTCATCTCACCAAAGAAAGTATTAGTAAGGCATCCCCATCGCAATGGTACGCTGATACCGGCGCCACTTCACACATGTCTGACCAACGTTCTCTATTCAGAAGTCTAATTCGTACTCCGCGACGAAGGATAACGGTTGGTGGGGGAGCTATGTACTCGGATGAGCGAGGAACAGTGGACATGGTGTGCAAGGATGGAACAAGGACATCATTAGCTGGTGTGCTATATGTACCTGGATTGGGGGTCAACCTGCTCTCAGCCAAGAGAATTTGTGAGGCAGGACTCAAGGGTACATTCAGTCTCAAGAAGATGTATTTCACACCAGAAAACGATAAGAATAATAAGATCATCAAAGCAACAATGAAAGATGGGATGTATATCATCTCGCATGTGAAACCAGGATACGAAGATTCTGCATTCTTTGCGCTCTCTGCAGAGATCATTGATGGTACAAAAGGGGAAGTCGAAGAATTAACCATGACGGAGAAGGAAAGATACCTTATCTGGCATAGACGCTTCAATCATCTCGGCCCTGACAAAATCAGGAATCTGCACAAAGTCACTACACTCCAGAGACCGATCAAGGTCCCTTCAACTCTTGATGTCTGTGAAGTGTGCGCTCTCACAAAGATGACTAACAGAATCCCAAGTCAACTAAGTGCACGAAAATCCAAAAGGCTAGAATTGATCCATTTCGATGTTGCTGGCCCTTTCCCAAGGACCATTCGAGGGCACAGATACTTTCTCCTTATTATCGATAGCGCCACAAGGGTAAATTGGGTCATCCTATTGAAACAGAAGAGCGATGCAATACCCTTACTGAAAGCCTGGAAGCAAGAAATTGAACTTGCTACAGGAGTAGCTGTAATTGCTGCCAGAACCGACAATGCACCAGAGCTTCTTCAAGCCGTCCGGGAATGGAAGACTGGTGTGCGATCAGAGGTTACAGTGGTTGTATCGTCTCACCAAAATGGTCCAGCTGAACGCAATATACGCACCGCAGAAACCGACATGAGAGCAATGTTGAAAGAAGCTCATTTACCATTAGAATTTTGGGACGAAGCTGTCGAGCACGACGTATACATTCGAAACCGCACTAGTATTGGCCCAGATGCAAATGGAATCGATCGAAGCCCACTCGAAGCATTTACAGGCACATTACCAGATATCGATACATGCAAGGTCTGGGGGAGTCGATGTTACGCCTATATCAACCCCAAAACCATCCCAAAAGGACAAAGGCATGATAAACTTCGCGACACAGCAAGGGTTGGGATATTCCTGGGATACTCAAAAGACACCACCAAGCATATAAAGGTTTATTCACCAGAGCTAGGTTATACTTACCGCTCTTATCGTGTTACAATCGACGAAAGCTACAAAGGAGGGGATCTGGATCTCAAACTCAGAAACTGTGTAGCTGGATCACAAGGTACCAAGAATATAGAACCTGATCGCAGGCCTCGCGGCAGACCTAAGAATGTCCCTGAATCATCGTCTATTCCAGTCGATCCACCAATATCACCAAATGAAATAATCACAGACTCGATAGAGG